AATGCAAATTAACAAATACTTATACACCCAAATATAGTTAGCCTTACCACCTTCAAAGATATCATTAATTCTTCCTTTTTATCATAATTATACTAATATAATTCAAAGTCCATAAAGTGGCTTATTGTTAAGGCTATATATATTTTAGTCCCTATCTACTTTACTATTCTTCTCAGCTGTTACTCTTCCTTCTTTCAGTATTCTCTTTATTAAATATGCCTAGTTTGTTCCTACCTAAAGGCATTTGTAATTGTTGATCTATCTACCTTAAAAATTTACATCCCTGGTTACTACCTGCTGGGTCTTTGTCTTTCACAACTCAGCTTTATTATTATTCCTCAAAATAGTTTTCCCTGAATTAAAATTTCTACACACCTCCCTCCTCTACTTACTCTTTACACAATGACCCATTGTATTTCTTTGTGATATATATCTGAAATTGTCTTTTGTTTACTTCTTGATTGCTTGTTTCCCCTGACTAGAAAGTATGCTATACCACTGCAGGAACTTCTCTGTCTTCACCACCTTCTTCCCAAGAATTAAGACAATTCCTGGCCCAAAGTAGGTGCACAATAAATATTAAATGAATGGATGATGCACATGGAATGGTTAGAAAAGGAACAAATATTCTGCCAGCTATGTCAGGTTATCAACTCTATTGGTAAATACAAGAACAGATGACATTTCCACTAATTTGGACATAATATCTTCTCTTCCTAGGACAAATGTAATAACTATTACATTTTATTGCTAGCTTTGGAATCTTTCCCCTTCAGTTCTTCAATCAAATCTTTTGTATGAGAATTATCTTTCTCTTTCTCTATTTCCTCTTCTAATTCATTCACTTATTGGGCTTTTCCTCCTCTTCCCATTCTTTTCCCCCTTTTTATGATTAAAACTTAATTGTGGTACAATTAATGTAAACAATCTTGATATATTTTAATTTTGAAATTTGATGAGTTTTGACATCCTTAGATGTCTACGAGGCCATCACCATAATTAAGATGATAAACAAATCCATTATCCACAAGTTTCCTCTTGATACTTTGTAAGCAATCTTCTCCATTACTCCATTCCTAGGCAACAAGTGATGTGCATTCCGTCAATAAAGATAAGTTTGATTTTTAAGAATTGTATAGAGAATCATATATATTCTTTTTAGTCTCACTTCTTTCAGTTAGCTAGTTATTTTGAGATTCATGTTGTATATTCCTTTTTACTGTTGAATAGTATTACATTGTATGGATATACTATATATTTTTTAATCCATTCATCTTCACTTGGGGAAATATCTAAAAGTTAAATGACAGGGATTTAACTTTTTAAGAAAGTTTAAACTGGTTTCCTGATTGTGTCATTTTATATTCTATCTAACAGGTTCTGTTCATTTCAGTCTTCTATAGCTACAGCAGCACTTGGTATAGCCAGAATTTTTAAATTTAGCCATTCAAATGGGTTAGATGTATATAAATAAGACAAGTACACTGTCAGCTCTGTATATGTGCTCCTGAAGGGAGTACCTTTATTGGCTAGGTTATCAAGTATTTTCTTCCTGCCTATGACAATTCAAATGCCCTCAGGGTCCAGCCAGGATACTTTTTATTTTCATAAGTGTATTTTGAAGAGCAAGTTTAAATTTTTAAAAAATGAAATCCATTTTAAAAAATATTGTGTTCACTTAAAGAAATCACTGACAAAATCAACATCATTAAGCTTTTGTCCTGTTCTAAATCTTACACTTAGGTCTGTGATTTATTTTGAGTTAATTTTTATATATGGCAGGAGATGAATTTTTTTGTTATTATTGTTGTTCTTTGTATTTTCTCTTCCCCCTTGTCCTTTTTTTTAATGAAGGTTTCCAACTGTTCCTCTACTATCTGTGGAAAAGATTATCTTTTTCCAATGAATGATCTTAGTACTTCTTCAAAAATCAATTGATGAGTGTTGCTATTTCTGGACATTTAATTTTGTGACATGGATCTAGATGTTTACCTTTAGGCCATATCATTATCTATTACTTGATATTATCTTCATTGCTGTACTCTACAATAAATATTAAAATCAGGTAGTGTGATAATACAGAAAGATCTGCTCTTTATTGTCATATCCAGGTACAGAGTTCCTAAAACCCTTGGAATTTCCTAAATGATGAGTGATAGGAACATCTTTTGTTCTCATGTGGTGACTCTTGATGGGTCCTTAGAGAGCTTCAGTATAGGGGCTGGTTGTCAGAAAGACTAAACCTTGATTGAAAGCTTAGAACTTGTAGCCCTGACCCAACTTCCTTGGAGGGAAGAGGTGCTAGAAGTTAATAATCAATCATACGTACTTAATGAGACTTCCATAAAAACTCATAGCCTGAAGAACTTACAGGTTGGTAAACATGTTAAGATGCTGGGAAAGTGGTGTGCCTAAAAGAATCATGTGTGCCTCCAAGATCCTCTATACTTTGCCCTATGTATCTTCTCCATTTGGCTGTTCTTGAGTTGTATTCTTTATAATAAAACTGTGCTTTCCTGTGTTCTATAAGTGACTTCACCAAATTATTAAACCTTTGGTGAGGGGTCATGGAAACCCCTAATTTCTAGTCAGTTGGACATAAATATGAGTAACCTGGGACTTGTAACTGATATTGGAACTGGTGCAGTCTTGTGGGACTGAGTTCTTAAATTTCTGAGATTTGATGTTAACGCCAAGCAGACAGTGTCAGAATTGAATTGAGCTCTTAGCCAGTTGGTGTTCAAAGAATCAGAAAATTTGCTGTTAGTGTTAGAAAACATCTCAGCCTAAGTATTCCAACACAGCTCTTCAAAATTGTTTAGCTATTGTAGGTCTTGTGTATTTCCATACAACTTCTAGAATCAGCTTCAATTACTCCCCCCAAAAAAGCCCACAGGGATTCTGATTGGGATTGCTTTTCATCTACAGATAAAATGGGAAGAAGTGAAATATTAACAATATTGAGCTTTCTGACTCATGTAAATGATATGTCTCCATTTATTCAAATCTTTTCTCATTAATATTCTGCATTTTCAACAAAAGATCTTATAGACTTTTCAAATTTACCCCTAAGTATTACACAGTTCTGGTGCTACTGCAAATGGCACTGGTTTTAAATTTTTTATTTCTGTCTCTTGCCAATATATGGAACTACAAAAATTTTTATATATTAATCTTGTATCCTGCAACTTCTAATATACTTATTAGTCATAACATTTTTTATAAATTCTTTGGTGTTTTCTAATCATTCCATTTATGAATAAAAACAGGTTTACTTCTTCCTTTCTCATCTGGATGCATTTTATTTCTTTTTCTATCAGTATCATTTATGAGCAGACATCCTTGCTTTTGTTCCTGATCTTAGGAGAAAAACATTTAGTATTTCAACATTATGTATGTGGTTGGCTGTAGAATTTACATATTCTTTTCAAGATTAAGTAAATATTTCCCTTCTATTCCTAATTTTCAGAGTTTTTGTCATGAATCCATATTGGATTATAAAAAGTGATTTTTATGTATCTAGAATTCCCTGTAAAATAAATTTCATATATTTTTCATTTTCTCTGTGCTTCAAACTTATTAAAAGCCACCATCACATTTAGAATACATTCCAAGTTTCTTATCATGGTGAATATCTCCTACCACTTCTGAAAAACATACTCCATGCTATACCACCAGCAAATTACTTATACTTCTATGAGTGTGGCAATGCTATTTCAGGCCTCTGTGTTTCCCACCCTATTTAACTGGTATATCAAGCTCCTTACCACCTAACCCTTGAGTGTGTCTCAAATATCCAATCATTCAGGTGAACTCCAGCTGTCCTTTAAAACTCAACTTTGAAACAATCCTTCTTTAGTGCTCAACCTGTGTTGAGTTCATGCTTCTATTGTTGACATTACTACCCTGCATATAATTGCTTCTTTCTTTGTCTCCCCCAAGTAGGTGAAGAGCAAGCCATGGGTAAATACAACGTTTAACAAAATGCTTAAAAGAAAGGAGGATCTTAAAATAAATGAAATAATGTCTGTGAAACCCTTTGAAGACTGAGTTTTACAGAAAAATTCTTTATAGAAATCTAGGCATTATCTTTGTTTATATATTCTATTGCATAATAGAACTAATAGAAGTGAATAATATAATGCGAATATTTATAAGAAATTCTTATTATCACATTTATAAAATTATTATGGTATGTCTGCTGATATATTAATACCTAAATCCAATGTCAAAAACAGGCCCTACACTGTTCACCAGGATCCTACAAAAGATACTTTATATGTATTTACAAATTCACTCATTTAAGGCTCATAAAAATCTTTGAGGCAGGTACTATTATCCCAGTTTTACAACTGAGGAAAAAGAGGCATGGAAAAATTCAACTGCAGAGCTAAAACTAGCAAATCTGGTCTTTAAAACAAGGTAGTTCAGCCCTACAGCCTATTCTTTTCATTTCTACAACCTGTTTAATAACAACTTTTACAAAACACAAATATTGTTTTCATTTTTATTTCTTTAGTCACTTTCACAGAATATAGTTGTACTAATTATTCTGCATGAAAGACCAAGAATGGCTCCCATGTTCCTTGTGGTGGGATTATGAATACATTATGAAAATGATGAAATTATAGAAAGAAACAACTTGCATGTTCACTGACAACTAGTAACTCACAAGCTATAACTTTCACTGGTTTACAATACAATCTGCCTTGAGTCCAACATTTTAGAAAAAAATTATAAAATAGAAATTAAAAATGATTCTATATGATATGTGCTTCATATACTTAATACTGTAGTTAAGAATGACATTGAATATTTATATTGTATTGGGAGTGTAAAATGTCCCATAAGCCTGGAATATTCATATAGGCTTTACTTAGGGAGAATAATTGAAAGCATTAATTTAAAATTGATCTTCTCAATATTAAGTATTCTTAATAACTTTCCTATCATTAATAAACTTTTGAATAACATTTAAAATATTACATGAAATAAGTTACCTGTAAATGGAACACAGCCTTTTTGTTTTTTTCTATTTCTGATGTTTGTGATTGTTGTTGCTTTGCAACTTGCTCTAGAGCATCAGTTAAAGAAGATGTGTCTTGCTTGCACATAGACAAAATAAGATATAAAAATTAAATGCAGATATATTAATGTTACAATTCTTTACTCAAAATCATGATCAACTTGATGTTTTCTTCTCATAAACAAACTGAATTTAGAACTGATAATGTTCCCATTCTCAATCTGAATAAAGTCAAAATCAAAGGCAAGAATGATAGGCAATTCAGAGTTGCCTACTGCAATGCTATACCTGTTTCTTTATGGAAGAGAATGTTTTTATTGTCCTATTTTTTTGTCCAGAGCACTTGTAACTACATTATAATTACAGCACAACCATAACAACTCAATAGCAATTATAATTGACATATTTTCATTATAAGCCTGTATTTTCATATTGTTGTGCCTTTTGCAGTTTTTTCCTGAAATGTAACCACTTTCTTCTATTCTAATTTGCTATTAATTTTAACACAATTATCCTTTCATACTTCTATTTTTACTATTCTTTTAATTATTTCTTAAGATTGTTTTATTACCTTCATTAAGAACTTCATCACTATCACTCTTCCTTTCTTTGTTGCCTGACATTTTCTGTCTATAATCTCTTTTTCCCTTTTTGGTTCACCTTCTTTATTCCTGCAAGATAATCTATATTGATAATCTTTTCATTTTCCCACTTTTCCCATTGTGATTTGTGATCACCACATATACTACAGGGATGGTAATGACATTTAATCATTAGTACAAATAAAACAGAATGGATGAGACTTTGGAAGGAAAACAGAACAGTACTGTATTTACATCTTTGTTCTCCAATTTTCAATTGTTATAAACTTTAGTGTCTTCTTTGATCCTCGGTGCTCTTATTTGTAAAATCTCATGGGGCTATTGTAATAATTAAAAATATACATCATGTCTGTATCATGAAACTGACATATATAGAGTAATTATTATGGATTAGTAGCAGGTATTTCTACTACAGACCAACTTGAAATCACACTGAGGATTTAGATATTATTGATTCAGCTTATGAATTCAACTACTTATTAAAATTATGAGTCCTTCCAAGGCCTATGTGTGACTTGCTAAATGATCCTTCAGCTGATATACTGAAACAGACTTCCTTATGCCAATGGTCACAATTGAGATCTCAATGATCTATGAGATTGTGATGTCTCTAATAGCAAGAAAACACTACAGCTGAGGAATTATGACTGTGCAGCCAATCTCCAAGATCAAACATTTGCTAAAGATAGCACAGGTGGCTTGTTAGTGATGACCTGTCCTTCACAAGTATACATAGTCACTCCCCTTCTACAAATCTGGCTCATTTAGTACATTAGTTCTGCTACTCCTTACATCTGCCTTTACACACCCTGCTATGTTGTATGATCATAAATACTAAACCAGAGATTATGGTCTTAGCCAAGATAAAGCTAAGATCATGTGGTCTTAGGAGAGAGATAAGATCAATTCCCAGACACCCAAGTAATAAGCTATTGTTCTTTATTCCTTGTTCTTTGTATATTATTTTTTCATCCCCTGCTGTATCATCAATCAGGTGATCAGGCATCCCCCGATAACTAATTGGTGGTCAGGCCATCACCTGACACTCTAGTACTATGATGAAGTAGGCTTTAAAACATTAACCAGAATTTGTGAGCAAAAGTTTCAAGAATAGTTAGCAATTTCTCCAATTAGTATAGAATACAGAGAATACAACACTCCTGTTCATTGATATTTTTTGCCAGGGTAAGCCCTAAGCAGGTTTAGAATCACATTTTAGTCTATTATTTATTTAGGAGTAACTGATGATGGGGTATTTTCTTTTTTTTTTTTTTTTT